ATGTTTATCAGATCGTTATTTAAAATGTTTGTTCATAAGCTAATGGCTATAATACATATAGGTAAGATTATTTTTTTAAACTCACATTTAACACTCTGGGAATTCGGAACTTTTCAGGAAACTAAATATGTATATAGTATAAGGTTTAGTTAAAATTATTTAAATAAATATTTGAGTATATTATACTATACACGGATTTATTCATTTTGTATAAACTTTTTATATTTTAATAAATTAATTTAAATAATTTTTAAATATATTTATTAATATATTTTAATTTTTCATACTTTAAAATATATTTTAGTTCTGAGTCTAACACAAAAGTCTTGTATAAAGTTAAAACTTTAAAAGAATAACGTACATGTAGGTACATAGAGATTAGAGGTGAAAATTTAATAATTCTTTATATCTCACTACCTAGGCGGTGCAAAATACTTTTTTTAATATAATATAATACGTAGGGCATTTTCCCCTTACCTCCTAACACTATACTTAAATCGTTATTCGTTACACATCAATGATCAGTATAATAAAATTAAACAAATTTTTGTTAACTATAAAAGCTTCTTAATAAATCACAATATAAATAATATAATATAAACACTGTAATAAGATATCAAATATCAACATGTTTCGACTACTCGAGTTCAACCAGGATGAACAAAATAGATTATTATAATAAAAATAATATATTACCACATAGCACGATTATGTAATTTATTATGATATCAAATTGTCAACGTTAATAAAATTAAAATCTCAATTGGATGGTATTTTCGTCCAGTGGTAGGCTATCATTACCTTGAGATTAAATATGTTTTTTATTTTTTTTTAATATTTGATATCAGTATAGGTTTTGAGTTTACTGTTTGGTATTTATTAATTTATTACAATGTTGTATTTAACATAACTGTATAAATTATTTTTTAACATACAAATTCCTATATTAGACACTTTATTTTATTTTTTGAAAATATGCGATATTCGCCCCCTCCGTTAAATAAATCTGAATCTGCCCCGGATCCGTTCATGATTGTAATTACTAATTAATAATTGTGTCAATACCAGAGTGCGACAGTTTATCAAATTTTTAATATTTTGGCCATAATAATGGAAATAAATCATTAGAGAAGGAAAATTTATATTTTGTCATTTAAATCCAAATTTAAAAAAATATTTTCACAGGTGGTGCATTTGTGATGCTTTGACGCATCAGTGCTTCCCTACAATTTCGACCAATTTTTAAAATATTTGTTTTTACTTCTAATATAAAATTTGAATGTCATATTTTTGAAATTACGAAAAAGAGTTTTGTAATATTGAATAAACAATGGTAGTGTTGTAACCGTACAGGACCTTAAGGTTTAAATTTCAAAATGCGCCGTTGTTTATTAAATGTCTACAGAGATATTTGACTATTTGACTATGAAGTCCACGTCACCGACAGTCAAGTATTTGACTATTGTCAGACATTATTAAACATTATATTATAAACCAATAAAAGATCTAAAATACTCGATAAATTTGACAAACACAATTTAAATATATTGAGAAACTACTTGTCGTGTTATCCAACTGTTAAACTTCAATCAATATGGACTATGGAGTATCGGGAATAACATTTAGGTTCTAAATGTATGTATACATGTATTGCAAATTTGTACAACGGTGGAGGGGGAGGGAAAATTGGTAAATTATACCTATTGAATGGTGTATCAGCTTAAAATTAAAATATTAGGTACACATAATATATTAATATGTATTTATCAATAGGTAATTCAAAACATATTGATAAACCTATTCATTGCTCTAATTTGATCAAATTTTAACACTACCGTCTACAACACAGTGGCGTCATTTGGGGGAGGGCAACTGGGGAATTTGCCCCAGTCTAGTATTTACATCAACCTTAAGTCGGCACATTTACCACACGTTCTCTACCTCCCGTTTACCACTATGACACTATGATATGAGAATCTGAGTGAAAAAAATGTTGAGTCGGAAAAGCAGAGAAAAATTGCCCTATAGTAGTCTAATAAAAACTGAAATGACGCCACTGCTACAACACTATTATACTAGGTATATAATATTTAAGTTGGTATTTCTTAGTCATTTTAAAATACAACTGAGATGATCGATTTATGGGAGAAAAATGGTTGATGCGTAATAATATATTATATTAAGTCTAAACTTCTAAAGTACTGCAGTATTTTCTACATAGTAATTGATAGGCGCAAATAGGGGGACTTACCTCGACCCAAAATTCAGGACATAACATTTTAAAAAATGTGTTGGAATATGTTTAATTCGTTAATGAAATAACAATAACTGTAGTACATTTTTAACATTTACATAGGTATAGATATCATGGGAAGGTATATTATTATTATTATTATTAGGGTTGTGTATTGGTAAAAAATGCATTATTTTTAAAATATTGTAAAACATATAGATTCTTGAACATAAGCAGTGGCGTACGCAGGATTTTTCAATGGGAGGGGGCTTGAAAATTAGTTACAATTTTATTTTTATTTTGTCCAGTATAATAATTTCAGAAGTTTATTTATGGTATTTTAAAATGTTTGTAACTTTTCAACTTTTCTGGTAGAAAAAATGCTCTGATCATAAGCTTCGATGCCCGATGCATGTTTTTGGAAGAAAATTGGATCTAGTTGGTACTTTTAGGAACTCGAAATTAAAATGCTCAGTGCTTTTTAAAATAATTGGAGAAAAAAAAATGAAAATATATTAAAATTGTTTGGTATCCAGCTTGGTCGTTATGACCTTACATGGATTGTATTTGATTAATTAAAATTTTTTTTTTTTATAAATGTCAATAAAAAATTATTTATCAGATCAAAAATCTTAAAAGTGTAATACCTATAAGTTTTTATAAAAGCTAAAATATTAACAATACATATAGGCATCATGGTTATTTTTTATGAGCATTTAACGTACAAATTTCGTCAAAACCACAGTTAATTTGTAGTTCAAAACTTATAAAATATTAAATGTGTATAGCTAAGGCTATACAATTTAATACAAGGTCTTTCATACAAGTAGTTCATACTTTTACCGAAAAATTACAGATAATTTATGAAAATTGGTACGCAAATACAATGTTTAAAAATGAATTCATTCTGGTAAGACATATATAAAATTTACTTCTTGCTTACTATATAATTTACAGTAGAACTTGATAAATATTTTTTGAAAAAGTAATAATAATACGGGGGGAGGGCTTCAGCCCGTTGGCCCCCCTCTGCGGACGCCACTGAACACAATTATGAATTAGCTACTATGAGTTTAATTTTTAAACTTATTTTGCATTTTTTTGCTTTTAATATTTTGTGTTATTTTTACATTTTTTATTATTTTTTTTTTTTTGATAATTTGAATAGTTTCTATCAGTTAAATATTCGTATACACATCATTTTTATTTATTTAATGTTCATCTTATACATATTGTTTACACGTTCTGCACATTTTTTGAGATTTTTCAAGATTTTAAATAATGTTTTGAATTCATACTTCGTAGCCCTATTTATTAATTCCCGTTTTACATTTATATACTTAATGTTTTGACAAACTTTGTAGTTTGAAAGCCTATTTCACGATGTTGATTAAAATATAAATTATCGTTGGGGTTTTGAAAATACACATACTAGGAATAATAATCCATATTATATTATCGAACCCTCGACTGGACGAGATATTTATGATTTATCATTATATATAATAATATTATTATTATAACTACACATTTTAAAACATTTTGATTTGTATATTGATCGCTTAATAAATTTCATTATGAAAAGTATTTTTGATTTTTTAGAATAGGTACAATTTAAGCAAGGATAGGTGTGCATAGAGCTATCACTAGTTTACTAAAAAAATATTCAGCTCCCCAAATTCAAAACTCAATTTTCGCCTATGTAGTAATCTTTACTAATTTACTAACAAAAATGTAAGGTAATGTACATAATACTTATGTATAATTTATACAAACAATTAAAATATTCCTAAGTACCTCGAAATTATGAAATTGATATATTTTTCGATGTTTAAATCATGTTTTTATGTATAATTATAATATTATAATTTAAAGTATCTGCTCTGTGTAGACATTTTAGATTTTGAGCGGAGCAGTGGAGGCATTGTTGCCTATCAGAAACCAGTTTTTCAGATACCAAAAAAATTCCTGCAACTAAAAGAAGATGGAAAAATTGTATAATTGTCTTGGAGCAGTAGTTTTCGAGGAGAAACAGCAAAATAACGAACTATGTAGAATTATAAGCGTTTAGCAAGCTTGGTTTCTACTAAATGTTGACGATTTTTATGTAAACCTATACAGTAGAATTGCGACGATGTATAAATCGTATCTTACTCTTCAACACGCGTCATGATGAAACAAATATACTTTATACTCGGTTCCCACAGCGAGAACAATACAATTTATTATACAGTGCACGGAAATCCGTTGTTTACTTTATATAATATTATCATATTATATACACCTAAATGAATTCTCACCGCGTCCAAACTTTCTATTTTTCACAACGGCAGTACACCGCATGCGACTATCAATGTTACTGCTGTGCATATTCCAAGACGATAATTATTGTAACATTTAAGCAACAACTAACAACGATTAAAAATTCGTAGGTTACCGATTTGCCCGCTCGAGTCATCTGGAGGAAATGCAAAATATTATATTAACGCAGCGGCTTGCTTGCATATTATCATAAATCATAGGCAGATGGCAGTATGACACGATTCTATATATATATCTTAAATCATGGTATAGATGAAAATGTGAAAAACGCAACCCGTTCGACGAAAACGGTCGGGGGTGGCGCCACCTACCGGCCCGAACCGGTGGCGCGTTTCCGTAAAATGCAGGCGAACGCGGCCGACAAGATTATTTCCAGTTTCCACTAATCTCAGGACCGATTTCGGCAGCAAATCCATCGTAATAACTAATCATTAATAATATTATTTTAACGTATAGTCTCGATCGGAAATCCGTCTCGTAAATCCCCCCCACGCACGCGTCTATCCACAGCCTGCACCGCCGAACACCGGCTTGGCGTGTAACGCGGTGGTGAACACATAATATCGTCAAGCGCGCGGCGGATACCGGTTCCGAGCGCTCTGCGTTCCAGCGGCGGCGACCAACCCGTGCGGCGCGGCGCGCGTTCGTCCACCGGTTCGATACAGTCGACGAACGGCGAACCACTAGTAAGTAGTAACGGCGACTGCATCGACTGGGTGCGGACCATCGCCAACCGATACGTGTTACACGCGAAGTAACGACAGCACGACGACGACGACGATAAAATAATAATATCACGATTCCAGATCGGCGGCGACACACGATATTTCGCCGAGGCATTGCTGACGGACTGGTTAGTTTCACACGATTTAAACATAATATTATTTTCCTCGTGCGCTTTAACAACAATAATATCTTTGTCGTACAGTGCACATAATATTTTATGATACATTTAATATCGACTGCGATAGTGCGAGATACGGTTTGCGGTCTTGTCGTGGCTCCGAGGTTTTTTTTTGCTTAATCAATATTGTTATAATAATAATTTATGATATTAATACGTATTTTGTTCTCATACAATAATATTTAACGCGACGACTTGTTGCTGCTGTTCGACCTATGCCGCTGCGAACACCTGACGTATAGCGAATGACGTCTGGCGCGTCGCCGCTTCCCATTGTTTGCCCATCACACAGTGTGTAAACGTGCTTTTTGTTTTTACATAGGTGTTATTGTACAGGTACCTACCGAATGATAATTATGTTTTATGTGTACATAATATTATTTTTATGTAGGTAACACGCGTGTATTACAGTGACATGTAAACAGGTATGATGTGCGCACGCATCATCGTCGTCGCCGGTGCTCGTGTTGTTATATTATAAATAGGTGAATAGAGTAGGAGGTACGTCAGAATTCCGGAGGATCTTTTGGGGAGAAAAAGCATTTAGATTTATTAGAATATAATCAAACATCCCTTATATCTTATTTTCCCGTGATAATGTGATAAAGACCCTTGATTTAATAAAAACACGACTGGCGACGATGGCGGTATCTCGAACATCTGCCGCTGCCGAGAGTTGCGACGAATTCGTCGGGGAACACGGGACTGGGGGAGTTAAGTGAATCATTATTACAATTTATTTACAAGTAGTAATACGTTGTGCAACGGAATATTGTTCGAGTCACACGTCATTGTTGCTGGTGTTATGGCCAATAGGTGAACGAGGAAAATTCGAAGAATGGTCGGTGCATATTGTAATGGGTACATGACTACATGAGTCACTTGGCGGCGTACCTTTACGGCCGTCGGCCGTGTACAGCATTACAGCGTACGATTTATTTCACCCGAAGACATATTATATATATATATATACGTAGTACGTACACATTTAACAACAATAATATATACAGCATACACGTCGGAATTATTATTACGGGTATGCGTGCTCGTATGTGATATTATTATGTGTGCGTGCGATCGGGTCGAAAAACCAGTTTTGAGCATAATAATAGACAACGGGCAACCGTCTGAGAACTCCGGTGCATTCGAGGTGCTGTGGCGGGGCTAAAAGAGTGGGAATGGCAGGGGGAAGGAGGACCGCAGCAAGTGGCACGGCACAGCACGGGAGGCTGTTGACATCAGACAACAGATACCTGTTACTGCGGGTCTGCGTGTCTATAATATTATATCTATACAGGCAAACGGCATACCAGCTCCGCCGATGTCCAGTAGTGGCATGCCAGAGGACGGTGTGGATTTTCGTTGTTATTTTTCTACACATCCCCTCCCTCCCTGCCACCCCTGATTAGCCGGCTGTGGTTTTTCAATTTTCGCGCGATTTGTACGACGTTTGAACGTCCAACGATACTCGGGAAATCGTCGATGAATATAAACTAATCGTCGTTTTGCATTTAGATTCTATCATTGTGTTGTAACGCATAAAGGACGACGATATGGCCTTATTTCCGATGCTGTCGTCTGTGGCCGGCTTCATTAAGGTGCGTTACGTGGTGGACAAGGCCAACATCGACAACGCCGTGTTCAGAGCGCACTACAGGCTCACCACGGCGATACTCTTTGGATGTTGTATACTGGTCACGGCCAACAATCTAATCGGTGAGTTTGACATTTTACAATAGTTTTTCCGACGTGAATTCTATATGAAATTGAAACCTATACGGAGAACAACAACAACTCAGGACGGGTGAACGCTGCTTTATTATTGTTTGTAATAAAGCAGGCAATTCCTTTCAATTGACCCTGGACCTATATAAATAATAAGCAAGTGAATGGGTTGTTAGAAGAGTAGATTATTAATCATAAAAAAAAATTAACATTACAAAGTGACGTAACTGTTGGACCAGGATATAAATTCTCTTTGTCGCCTCCAAAAAAATAAAAAAGTATTCCGATAAATAGTAAAATAGATTTGTATGCATCTTGGGAATTTTAATTTTTTTTTGGTTCAGAATATATTAATTTGATCTGTTGCTTTTAATTCTAAACTGCAACTGCTACATTTATTGTCGAGACCAAAACCAAAATTTAATCATATTGGATTTTTTATATTTAGGCGATCCTATAGCTTGTATAACTGATGGTGGCATCCCAGAACATGTTATCAACACGTTTTGTTGGATTACTCATACGTTTACATTGCCGGATAAACATATTGGTGTTGGCAAACATGTTGCTCATCCTGGTGTATCAAATTATGCTGAAGGCACCGATCAAATACGATACCATGCATATTACCAATGGGTGCCATTCATGTTATTCTTCCAAGGCGCTTTATTCTATATACCCCATTGGATATGGAAAAACTGGGAAGAAGGCAAAGTTCGCATGATTACTGACGGTGTACGTGGTGCTTCTATTGGACAAAACGAAGACAGACAAAGTCGTCAAAAACAATTAGTTCAATATCTAATTGATACTTTACATATGCACAATGTTTATGCTTCTGGATATTTCTTATGCGAAGTAAATAATTGATTAAAGCATCGATTTTGTATTTGTTTTAATGTTTGATGTAATTTTTAGGTATTCAATTTTTTGAACGTGGTTGGAAACATGTTCTTAATTGACAGTTTTTTGGGAGGTGAATTTTTCACATACGGTATTAAAGTGTTAGAACTCAGTCAAGAGGATCAAGAAAACAGAATTGATCCCATGGTATCTGTCTTCCCAAGAGTAACAAAGTGCACATTTCACAAATTCGGTCCATCTGGATCATTGCAGACACATGATGCACTTTGTGTATTGGCATTAAATATCTTGAATGAAAAAATCTACATATTTTTGTGGTTTTGGTTCATTATATTGGCAATCATATCTGGAATGGCGTTGGCCTACAGTATTGCTGTTATAACATTGCCTTCAATTAGAGAAACAATTTTACTACGCCGTTTTAAATTTGGTACACCACAATCAGTTTCAGCACTTATCAGGAAAACACAGGTAGACTTTCAACATTTTTTTTTTGCTTAACTGCAAATCAATAATTATTTTAAATTCAATTTTTATTTCACTAGTTTAACTACTTCTGATTGAAAATAAAATAATGAAAACCACATTTTGTAGTTAAAACCGATTTTTATATTTACCGAATATTATAAAAATTAATCTTATTTCAGGTTGGAGATTTCTTATTATTACATCTTTTGGGCCAAAATATGAATATGGCAGAGTTTAACGAAGTATTAGATGATCTCAGCTCACGATTACATCTGGGAAACAATTTACCAACTGCTCCTTCGACCCTAGAATTATCACCAATGTATCCTTTGGATAAATTGAGACTTCACAAAGAAACTGAGGCTTAGACTTGATGAACAACAAGAATCGATCAATGTCTGTATTTTTTTTTTTATCTAATAAGAAAAACATTTGGAGTTGAAAATTTTTAATCTCAAACTGTGTTCAATACTTAGAAAAACATTCCATTTGCGTAACCTTTGAACCTTAATTAATTTATCTGTTATTCAAATTGTGTACTAGTAATCAATAATTAGTTCTAAGACAAAATTTTTTCAATGGCATATTTTATTTTAATACATTTTTATACATTTTCCAATTTGTAACCAAACTATTCCTACATATAAATAAATATATTCTTTTATATTTAAATGATTGACTAGCAGTCATTATGATGCATCTTGGCGCTAATTAGTATAAACAATAACTTTAGTTGTATTTAATAAGTTATTTTGATTTTCAATTAGAGGTTTAACTTCTATTAAAATTGTAATTAATTGTGATAAGATATTGTGAACTGTAAATTATAAAATTAATTTAGATGATTTATTTTAACAAAATATTGTATAAAAAGGTCTCCTAATATCGGTATTGATGATTTGGTTTTAATTATTAAATTTAAACGACTAATTATGTATTAAATAATGATTTTAAATAAAACATGAATGAACTCGACAATTATACATTTTATATAAGCTATGAAGTATTTAATGATTATACACATTAAACAATTTTATTTATATGTTATATTACACTTACTAAGAATTAAATATCTATTATTATTTTAATGTAATCTTATTTTTTCACTTAATAATTCAATCCTTTTTGTATGTGAAATTATTGTATATTACCATTTATATTTTAAGGTTCCACTAGACTTGAACAACAGACATGAGTAATTATCTATTTGGATTTTTTTCCTTTGCCATTAAATTTACCATGTAAAGGTGTGGGCACATGGGAGGCATTATGCTGGAGACTAGTAGTTTAGTCTAAAGCAAATCCAGTATTAAGAGAGAACCTTTACTTTTGTGTTGATGAATACAACATTGCTTAGTTTTATCAATTAGATATTAGAAATACAGAGCAAACAAAATAAAAAAATAAGTAACTAAACTGGGTTATTCAAAATATTTTTAAATACATTTTCTTTTTTCATAGGGTGGTATATATAATTAAACTAGAATATAATTTATTATGTTTTGCTTCTGCATAAAAATCCAAACATTACATTGGTGAGAAAAGTGTTAAAATACCTTTGACCACAGTCCACAATAAACGTGGTGGCAGAAGAGGAGACTGCAAACTTTTCACTTTCCTATAAGAATATACTGTTCAATTATGTATTAAAAAAAATAATTAGGGAATACAATAACAAAAAGGATAATAAAAGTTATTTAATTGGATAAACTTAAATGAAATAAACTGTAGACAATATGTCCTTGCTAAAACTACCTAACTTCTGGTTAATAACATATTTAATCTTTTCAAAGCTGGGCAAATTAACAGATTGGAAAACAGTTGAGTTTTAGTATAAATTAACAATGAGCACACCTTAGGAATAATTAATATATTATATATTAGAGAAATATAAAATAAACCTGCAATTGACAAATTTCATGAACAAACCATTTATTCGATTTTAATAATCAAGGTTTTCATTTTTTCTGGTCAGACCCCTCTTCTATAGCTTAGCAGTAGACCAACTACAATACACTAATAGCTCTACGTGAGCATTTTATAGTACTATGGTAATGTGTTTTATGGATTTTTTTTAAGGCAATCATATAATAGTTCTCAATAAATAATAATTTATAATATTATCTTTAGGAACTTACTTTGATAAATAACTAAGTGTCTAAGTTCAGTTGAAATTTTTTGTAGTCATAGTCTATAAGTAACCAAGTCAATACTAATATAAAATACATTGTTTAACTAGTTAAGTTATTGATATTTTTTCCATTATAAATGTAATGTATTTATGTTTATAATGTTATGCTAATGATCATGATAGTAGTCGAAGCAGAAATGTGTACAATTTCAAGACCTATAAAAAAAAAGTTATCGACGAGTAACTTTTCATTTTTCCACTAGATACTGCCCAGTTTTAAATTAGCTCATATCAGTGTCGATTTTTAGGGGGTGGCGAAGGGGGCGCTCACCCCCCCTTGGATTTTTTTTGCATGTCCCTTTTTTAATTGAATTTACACTAAATGCTTGAATTGCTTTAATTATGGGGGATGCCCAAAAATTAAAAATAGCCCCCCCCACTGATGTTTTATCAAAACCACCACTGGCTCATATAGCAATTAGTTTCTACTTTCTAGGAATACGTAAAAAAAATACTAATAAATATTTGTATTTACATAATGGACCACTGGGAAGACCCCGGTCCCCGATTGAGGTGGGAAGATGTGATAGGAAAAGGCGTGGAAACACTGAATGGAGGACGGGACTGGAAAACAAGACCGATGGATGGGGAAAGCTGGAGGATTGGATGTGTGATGAGATGGTCTTGATGGCCGGAAATCCCAAGAAAAAGAAGAAGAAGAAGAATTTACATAATGACATAATATGGTATGATGAATGGCAAACGTTTAGAAATGATTACAATAAAAATTAATTTTTTTGGAATGTGAATAAGACCGTGTTTAATTAAAGAATAATATGTGAATGTGAAGATGTTCATTTTTTGCAATAAACACGCAACAATGAACAAATTCATTTATTTCTATGAGCTTTGAGATATTGAGAAAATATGGTATTCACGTCATGTTTCGTTTTGTAGTCAAATTAGGTAACCATAAAATGTTATACATAAATTTCTAAGAAAGTGGAAAACTATGATTACTAATGATAAGTTAATTTATTAGAACTAATTGGTTATAAAAAGTTATTACAATAATTTATTATAAATAGCTGAATTACACGGCGTTGCCCGGTAAAAATTGTGATCCTTCAACTCATTTGGGTGTAACACGCTATGGAAGCAAATAGGTATCTTAAAGCACACAAGTGCTATGTCCACTTTTTTTTTTTGAAAATCGAGATATTGATATCTAGGAATTCGTCATAGACAGCAGAATCGATTGCACAATCGTTTTATGTCCATAACCTAACAAAATTCCGTTCATTTTGAATATTCGAAAAGTGCTATGTCCACTTAATGTTTATTTCAAGAGCACAAGTCACATTTTTGCCATAAGAAGTACCTACGTTGAAGTGACATAGAACATTTGTGCTCTTGAAATATTTTTAACATACTACAAAACTTGTTTTTGCGTTTACCAACAATTAGAAAAAGTAGACATATAACTTGTGTGGTATCCCAATGTCTTTTTAAGTGTAAATGATATTATATTTTAATGTATAGGTAGCCATCCCGACCGGCGTTGTCCGTGAGTTGTGATTATGAGAGCAGTTTATTATCAGGTAGGCAATATAACTGCGGTAGATCGCAGACTCCGTGTGGTTTGTTCGTAAGTACTAAGTGTTAAGGGCGTACCCAGGAATTTTTCAAAGTGGGGGGGTCCACATTTGAGTTGGCTTCTGCTAGGTGTTTAATTTAACTCTTAAGTATCAAAGGTATACCAAGTTTGTCGTTTTTACTAAAATTCAACCTACGGCGGATTAATACAATCAATTAATACAAAATCCTAACCTAACCGTACTAAAATCCGATGAATAAAAAAAACCAAACATTCGTATGTATAGATAAAGAAGAAAAATAAAAAGTGAAAATAAGAAAAAACAATCCAAAAAATTGGTCCACCAAAACCGTTTTTCGATCTTGAGACATTCTGTACATAAAATACATCGAAGTGCTCCTCCGCCAACAGGTATTAACAGTTATCATTATTATTAAAATTAATAGCAACCATTTACAAACATATATTTCCATCGTAAATCTCAAAATCCCTGTTATTTGAGCACCTCCCCGGGTCAGACCTCTAATTTACCCTTTTTAAATTAGCCTATCTTCTACCCAGAGGTCTAATCTATCTCTGTACCAAATATCATCGCAATCGAATGAACAAATTAGGAATGCATAAGGACACACACCCACAAACATTAATTTATATATATAGAGATATAAAATTAGTGAATCAGGGATTTATAATCAATGATGCAATACTTATAAGTGTTATAACCACGGTAGATTAATAATCTACCGTGGTTATAACTAATAAAACAATTTTAATACTGAACGAAGATGATGGTGCGCAAGCTAAATATTTGATTAATAAACTTTGCAATGATATGTTGTTAATGATATTTAAAAGAAGAGAAATATATAATTTGTACATGTTTAGCTAGTGATATTAATTTCATAACATTTAATTCACATACCTAATATAAATTCAAATCCAATTGACTTTTTTTAATGATATATGATCAATAAAACAGGTTTATGATACTATAGGCCAGGAGTGGCCAAACAGTCGATCGCGATCGACTGGTCGATCTTGGACGATTTCTAAGTCGATCCCCATTGTTAGAATTTTTTAATTATTCTTATATATTTGCAATTTAGTAGATACACTTATTAAATTCATATGTTTCGGATTAACCTGTTAGTGTGAAATGGCATTTTCTCACATGAAATTTATAATTTATAGAAACTGAGTAGGTATTAGTTTTAGACTTTAGCACAGCATCTTCGCTTGGTCATGCAATGACACACCTCTACATCAACAGTAAAATGTTAATACATTTTAAAATTACTTAAAAATTTAACATGAAACATTCATTTTAGATAACTTAACACTTTAATTTTATTATTTATATAAGTATGTTTATTATTAATATTAAATAATTTTTTTACATTAGTCGATCCTAAAAGAAAAAATATACCCTCAGTAGATCTTAATCAAAATAAGTTTGACCACCCCTGCTATAGGGCATAGACTAGTAGCGTACGTAGGATTTTAGTTCGGTTAGGGGTTTACCCGAGTAAATTATTTAAATTATTTTTTTCTAAACAGTTTTTATATAATTGGTTATAACAAATTATAGTTAGTCTCAAATTTAATCGACATTTAGAACACTCAAGTGTTTAACCTGGTCA